CGATCGCTATCACTTGTTCACGAGGCAGTGGCCACTGCTTCATGACACAGTATTTCGAGCCCGGTTTGAGCTCGATCTCGTGTCGAGTGCCTTTGTCCTTAGGCAACTCGCAAGGTACGGATTCAGGGAACACATCCCTGAATTCGATCAAATCCTTATACAAAGGATTTGCCTGAAGTGACTCCCAGGATTGGGACGCGTATCGCTCAATCCGAGTCTTCTCATCGAGGACACTTTCGTCCATCGATGAGCTGCTGAGAACCCGTTCGTTCTCAGCAAATACTGTTGCCGACCGAATGTCGGTCACATACTCGTCCTCTGTGACGAGTACGCAGATCTGCTTGACTTTGCCACTACGCAGATCACGCAAGAACCGTTTCGGTTCTAGCGTTGGCAACTGAGTTATCTCCGAAGTCAACTTCGGAGGCACAATCAGATCAAGCGTATAAGCGCCTACGCTTGATCCGTCATTAACCAAGACGTTCAACGTCTCGGTTTCTTCCTGGGATCTTGCTTCCACAGGTTGCTGAGGGCCTGATCCCTCAGCAAGCAACTCTTGAGGAACTCCTTCCTCAAGTACGTGGGGACTTATTCCCTCGACGTCTTCCGACTGTGGCTGTGCAACCACAGTCAGGAACCGATCCTCTACGGTCGACTCTCCAGTCGACCTAGGATTTTCATGTTGCCCCTTGGGGGCAACAGATTTATTTCTTCTAAGATGCTGCCCGCTAGGCATGCATCCATGTCCCGGTCCACTCGACTTATTCGAGTGGTGGACCTTCGGCGCAGCCTGTACTTCTGTACAGCCGCCGGGAGCTTGCTCCACAGTGTAGTGATCAACTACACTGTGATCTTGTGCAGTCGTGCTAACGACCGTACCGCAAGTGAGGCCATCGCACTCACTCGCAGAACATCCACACGCTTGTGGACGCTCCAAGATGTTCATCAGATGGCCATCTGATGAACAAGCAGCAGGCATCTTCACGGATCGATGCTGCCAGCTCACCCTTGGCTCGTATTTTCTGAGCCAAGGTAATCCCAGGATGACATCAAATTTGTCATCCAGATCTAGTACGATGAAATCATCATCGTACTGCTCGCCCTCTAACGTGTAGTGGATTCCTACTACACGTTTCTCAACGGTTATCGATGCGCCTGTTGCAAGGCGCACCGTCATCCTTGTGAGGGGAATGTCGCGCTCAACGAACTTGAGCCTACGACCCTCTAGTGACTGGCGACGAACAAAGTTGTTCGACGCCCCACAGTCTACTAGGGCACGAAGCGACAAGTCATTTGTCGCTTCCAACTTCAAGGTGATGAGCGAAACATCATCACCAGGTGCAGAGACACACAATGATTGTGTATCTGGAGCAACTTTCGTCAAGAGGTTTGCAAATTCTCTTGAGGTTGCTGGATCAGTAGGGCGCTCCGCCCCTACTGACCCCGACCATTTTTTGATGGCCCGTCTCGCTGTTGCGGCTTCGCAACAGCGCTGGACCCACGCCCATTGCCCTTTCTAACGAATGGTCGTCCATTTCGCTCAGTACTGTTTGGTACTGGGCGCGGAGCACTACACTCGTATGCGTAGTGCCCTAACTTCTGACAGCGATTGCACCTCTGCAATCGCTTGTTGCTTGTAGAGCGAGGTCTCTCGCTCTCAACATAACAGAGGTCCATTGGTTCTGGACCTCCGATCTCTTGTCGTCTCGGTGGACGGTAAGAGTTTGAGCTAGCATGAGCCTGTCTCATGCTAAAGTCTTCCTGTTCCGCGGCTGATATCGCTTCTTCAAGCGTATTCAGCTCAAGGCGGAACAGGTGGCTCCTGACGGGCCCTTCTGCGAGCCCTTGCATGAACACCGTAATCAACGTGTGTTCATGAACTGGGTTTGCAGTTATACTACTCGCAAGGAGTCGTATATGTTGTGCGTAAGCGTGCACATCACGCTTACCCTGCTTGAGTTTCAGGAGATCTGAACGAGCCCTGAACTCAGCACGTGGCGGCTCAAACGTTTGTCTGAGCCGGGACTTGAAGTCATCTAGCGACCTAAACACATTTGGGTCGCTACTCTCGAGTCCCAGGGACCAAGTTTTGGCACGCCCTGCCAAGTGGGTCTGAGCAAATGTGAGTTTCATTTGCTCATCTTCGACGCGACGAGCCCTTAGGGCTCTGTCGAGTTCGACAAACCATAGTAACAGGGAGTCCTCCGGGACTCCACTGTACTTGGAGATGTCGACTTTCATCACTTCGGGACGACGCGCATGCGCCGTCCCGCCCACAGCAGCATGGAATTGCTGCTGTCTCAACAGCTCCGTCTGTTGAGCACCGAGTTCTCTCAACTGCTCGGCCTGTTGAGAGCCTTGCTGGTGAAGCAAGGCTACTTTCTCCCTCTCGAGAGCAAGTTCATTGTGAATGAACTTGGCGATAGCAGCATGTTGTTGGTCTCTGTCTAGAGACTCCAACATGGTGCTGACGACGAGTTCGCCTACGGTAGAACTCATTCGTTCTACCGCACCCCATTCGATGTCACTCAAATGGGTAAACCCTTCACGCGTGGCGTGAAAGGTGTCTTCTTCATCCAACATGTTCATGTTGGATGATGTGGTCCTTGGAAGGACTACTAAGTGCTACCAGGTGTAACGGGGCACACCCTTGCGTAACTTAACGCAAGGGATTTGGGTGCCCCGACGGACGTACACGTGGCGAGCGAGGAAGCGTAGGTAGGGTAAAAGTAGAACTGTTATATTAATAAATTAAGTCTTTAAACTACTGTCTCTTCGTTTGACTTAATTCAATTATACTAATATAACTGCATGTATGGTGACGTCTCGTCACCACTCATTGCGCGCGTCTTGCGGCGATTGGTGGGTTGATATCATCACGATATCAACCAATGAACAGACCCTTCTGGTCGACCCTTCAATATCACCGCTTCGGTGATATTGTTTAAAGAATATCCATCTTTATATTCTTTATTGTCACTTTCCTTAAGTGACAATATTATGTAACGGGCTGCCCCGTTACATTCCAGGTGATCCAGAAAAAGTAAAGGCTGCTGTGGGCAGCTACTGGAACTTTCTGTTCCAGATGCGGCTACTTTTCCGTGGCGAGACCCTTGCCGCGCTACGTAAGATCCATAAACCCGCACTACGTGGTAGCTAGTCTGAACGGAAGGAAGTGCGTGTTGCTTTGCTTCTCATGTAGTCCATGTCTTATCGTGCGCTGTCCTCTTACTCACTCTCTTTTACGTCTTGTTTATCACACTAGAGTTCACTTGACACGATACTTGTGTCGATCAAACGTGTACTTGCTAATTTGTCGTTGGTATCGAAGGCGTTGTGCGCACACTGCGTACAAGTTTCATACACAGAGGACAAAGACCTTGATCCAGATCAGATCCAGGTCAGCAACTTCGCCAGGATCATGCGCAATGTCTGGACGCATAGAAGTCGCTATATACATCAACGCTGCTTTTGCCACACACTGAGGATCGACTCCGTTGTCATTCGACAACCCATATCGAACTCCACTTTCCCGCTCTGGTCTCAAGCTTCTGTCGTGCCAGGTCGTGGACGCAAATTACAATGTAGTGCACGACAGGAAGTCAGCATGGACTGAAAATGTCTCGTAATGAGCGAGCAAGCAAGCTATTTGATGACAAGCGTTGCTTGGGTTATCAGCAAATATTTTATAGTGTCATCTCTTCTGCTCGTTGCACGACAACTTGTAGTCGTCGATACGAACTTAGCACCGTCGTGCGGCACCGCTTCTAGGGTATGCAAGCGCGTCCAATAGTCAAATGAAACGTACGAGGAAGAATCGACAATGCTTGGAGTCACTCGAAGCGTTGTTGATTCTTCTTGATGCCTTTATCAGTGTTTGTCCGGTTCATCCTCCGTATCGACTAGCAACAAAACTGCTGTCGTCTTCTCATCTTTTAGTCCAAGCGAGCGGCCCCAGGAAAGTTGCAAGCGCCAATACGGCTTCACTCTTGCGCGACATTAGCCGTCAAACGCATCGACCGAACCGCATTTATCTACCTGTCGTCGCTGAAACGAAAAAACCTGATTTCCTGTCAAGTATTGCAACAAGACAAACGGATTATGTGTACCAGCAGTAGAAGGACCTAGCGGATCATAAGCTGACTTTGACCATCTCCGTGGTCAGGTAAGCTGTAGGGCACTGCGTGATTACATGCACGTACCTGCAACCACACTGTGCTCCTACTTCGTCATGTTATGCCTCGCTAGAGTTGGGTTGTTCCCACATGCATGGCAATAGGTGCTTGACCTTGAATGGCTGGAGCTTGGAGCTATCAAAAGGCTGCGGATCAGGGGATCTATCAATGGCTTCATCTTGAGTGGCGATGAACTATACACCCATATAAAACAATTGATAAGTTAACGTAGGAATGGTGCCTGCAGCATCGTACTCGTCTGGGCTATATCAGAGCTCACCAAACCTGTTCATGACCATGGAGTCTTCATCATCCGAAAATAAAGCTCCGATGATATATGGACTCGTATTTTCCGAACCCATACGGTGCTGTAAAGAAATAGAGTGACATCGTGTATATTGATAGATCAGGATAGATGCAGAGGAACCCTGCCAACTATCGTGCGTTGCAGCCAACATGTGTTGTGGCACGTTCTGTGCATAAAGTCGAGACCATTCGCTTCCTGCGATCCTGATTTTTTGACAAAGTGGCAAAAAAAAGTCAGCGTCACTCATTACTTTAGACTACCATGAAGTCACGATCGACGCCTCGTTTCCATCGGACCGTTCGTGTTCAGTTGACAGAGACGCTTTGACATGGCTACATCGTAACCGCTCCCTCGGAGAGCTCTTTGTCGTGTAAAACGCTCAATTCTTTCCTTTCTCTCGACTCTCTTTCCACGCACAGTGTGCGATATCCTCCACACTACATCTCTCTCCAACTATAGTATCCCGAATCGATCCGCCTCTCGCTCTCTCTCTCTCTCCCTGTACGTGTGTAGCCAGCATGACTCGCCCCTCGCTCTTACATCACCTAAGCGCCTTCACGTCAGTCCTCGTCACGGCCTCTGTAAGCGCTCACGTCCCCGTGTACGACGCACTGGTCGCGGCGTTGCCCCCCGCACCTTTCGACATGTACATCTTAGCTCAGAGTTGGCAACCTGCTTTCTGCTTCCAGAAGGAAGAGCAGTACCCCGGGTGCCGCGCCCCGCAGCGCTACTGGCGCTCGCACCTGACGCTGCACGGGCTGTGGCCGGAGCTCGCAGGGAGTGCCCCGCCGAGCTTTTGCTCGGGCGAAGCCTTCGACGCCGAAACAATTGAGCGCGAGCTCGGCATTGACACGCTGCACGAGTTCTGGCCCGACGTCAAGTTCCAGGAAGCGTCGCCAAAGTATACGGACTTTTGGAAGCACGAGTGGGCGCGCCATGGCACGTGCTCGGGCCTCAAGCAGGTCGCGTACTTTGCCAGTGCGATCAATCTCGAGCGCAACGAGACGTTGGCCCCTACGCCCGAACTCCTGCAGGACCACGTGGGCGGGCGTGTTGACGTCCAGGAGCTCCGCAAAGCGTTCGGGGACGCTGCTTTGCAGTGCCAACACTCGCGCGTGGGCGACACGTACGTCACGATGTTCTCGCAAGTGCTGACGTGCTGGCACAAGGACGAGCACAATGTACCGACGCAACGCAGTGCGTGCCCGCCCCATATCCACTCGGAAGACACGTGCGGGAAAGGAACCGTGACCATTCCTGGCTTCCGTGCTGCCGACGAGGACGACGCGGATCAATGAGGCGAGCTCGATGGACGTCATTCGGGAGTCAAGAAGGCACGTGACAGGTGAGATGGAGCGAGTAAGTGAGCACGTACAAAGCTCAGTGGAGAGAGTGCACCGCCAAAGCTGCGGCCACGTCGTTCTGAGCGCTGCTTAGTACAGTGCTGAGCGTCGATAATTGACTTGACACCAATGCACTGCTGCCCGCAGCTTTCAATTGGCGTTCAGGTTGTGCTTCTGTTCGCGCGACGATGTGCTAGCGGGTACATGTGGCGAGGGGTGTCTTCGTACCTCCCCCCCCCCCTTTCGTCTCTTGCGTCCCTGTAAGAAGGACCTTATCGATGACAAATCAGGTGGTTGCGAGGCAGTTACGCTGAACGACAGAGCCCACTGGCGTCACATCCGATCTTACACTACCTGTCGATCCTATGGTATGGTATGGTATGGTATGGTATGCTAAGGTATACCTATGACTCTGGTGCCAGATGAATGGGCGGAAGACAAGCAGAGCAACATGCGATCGAGTGTAACGCAATTCTTTCATTCGTCGCGCTGGGCTTTCGGTCGTCTGTGGTTCTTCTGCCACGTCCGCATGGCCGCTCGTTGCTATCTAATCTACTACCTCACTAACACGCTATGCCACATTGCCGCCCGCTACGCGACTCGGGGATCGGAGGCAGGGGGAAATCGACTCGACGATCCCTACCAGCCTTTCCGTTTAGCTTCTCTCTCTCACTAGCACATGGACGCTCGCACGAGCGAGACACGGAGGGGCGGGAGCACGAGTGTGGACGTTGCGACGGTCACGGGGGACCCACTGCGCTGCTGGGGGGTCCAGTAGCAAGTACGACGCGACACGTCGTCGGTGATCGTGAGCTTCGGCAGTTTGCTCATGCCCAGAGGCGTTGGGGTCCCCTCTGCAGACGCCGGTGCATAGTGCTGTGAGCTGAAGAAGGCCGATTCGGCCGGAGGTTGCACGTGGTAGACAATCTGCGGCTCGGTGAGCTTCACACTTGCTGCAGCATGTCCCGGATGCTGTACTTGTTGCTGCTGCTGCTGTAGTTGCTGTTGTTTCTGGGCCCGCACGACGCTATTAATGTCGTCGTAGCTCCGTTTCCGAGCCAGAGGGGCCACGGCCTTGTGCGTCGGCGTGGGGGGCAGCGCCGCTGCTGTCTTGGCACAGTACACTGCGCTGTCTTTGACCAGGACTGTGCTCGCGGCTTCCAGGGCCTCTTCGTCTTCAATGCTCTGGATGAACGCCCGACGGAGACCCGTCAAGTGCAGCGTCGCCTGCTCTTTCGAGCGCGCGGCCGTCGTCGAGTCTTGTGCACAGGGGTAGTACGCCCGTCGGCCGATCTTGGGGTTGATCTTGATCCCGGCAAAGACTGACCCAGGGAGCAGCTTCTTGGAAATCCGCATGGGGTCGCAGTGGAGCTGCTGGGCCAAGTACCCCCGGAGCGTCGTGCCGTATTGGATCGCGAGCAGCCCGTCGCAAAAGTACGAGATCGTTGCGGCCGCGTAGTCCTCTTCGGCTCGGGTCCACTTGCCCCGTCGGAGCGGCCCCGAGAGCGTGAGGTCGACGGGGGGCGACGACACGGAGCGAGGCAGGAGGTGGTGGGGCGACGGCTGACGAGTAGGGTAGACGTACTGCGTGGGCGAGTATGGCGACTGTGGAAACGGCTGGTGATGGGGCTTTCGCGGATGGCTGAGCGGTGGGAGGATCGTCGTCGTCGTCGGGTGGTGGTGCAGTAGTGAGGTGTTGGCGAGCAGTGGCAGATGAGGTTGAGGCATCTTGTCGTCCCAAGGGAGTGAGTGGGTATACGAGGCGAATGGAGTGTGGGGGACGTGGGGAATTGGGAAATGACAGGAGCTGAGTCTGTTGAGTCGATCGCGACTTGACTCGACTCTTTTGCCACCGCCGTCTCCTCCGCCTCCTCCTCTTGGCCACTTGCATATCTCTTCCCGGGCTCTTGGTCAAGAGACTTTCGCGATAGACGGTGCATGTCGAAGCGAGGTCGTTGCTCGCTTCATCTTTTTGCTGGAACGTTGGCCGGCACAAGGGTTCACCACGACCACGACCACGTCGGGCCAGCCGGTCTCACGTTCCACCGATCGAGCGAGGGCGCACTTGCGAGGCCGATAGGCAGCAAACGACGGGCATCGTCCCCCATCGGTCGTTCTCGCTGGCAAAAACGCGCATCAAGCTGTACTGCTACTGCTGCTGCTGCTATCGACAACACTGTGGTGCAAGACGCTTACGTTTTGACTTTTCCGATCGACGGGTTGCAGGCAGCAAACGCCGCTGCGTGAAACACGAGACGTGGCACGTTGGGAAGAAGACTGCAGCCCTTCTCTCGCTCGCACTCACTCACTCATCCACTTGGGCGCGTGCAGAAGACACGCGCTGACCACTCGGGTAGAGTAAACGTGTTCCTTGAAGATGTGCACGCAACGTGCAAAGCACCACACGGCTGTGGCCAGCACTTGATGCTGACTCGGACGGTTGGGTCTTTGTAGATCGGCGCGGGGGGAGGAGGGGGGCAGCAGGGCACAGGGCAGGGTCCGTGGGGCTTCGTTGGTCGGTCCACTGCGAGGAAGAGAGGGGCGCAAGGGGGTTTCCACTAGTTGGCGGGTGCCAGCTCGACCTCCGTCGGTGGCAAGCGGCGGCAGTACCCCGTCGAGGGACTGGAGACGCGGGCACGCATTGAGGTCGACCACGAGGGGGCGACGTACGGCCGACGAGGTGGGAGGGGGGGCAAACGGAACTTCGATCCGGTCGCCTGCGCTATCTATCTAGTCTCTTCTACCGTCAACAAGTCACACGACCTCAGACTGTACTGCACGCCTTCCAGGCTAATCTCCTCGGAAGGCCGTCGCCCTCAACCCCAGCCCACCCTCGCGCGCGCGCGACACCTCAACACCGCAGTCGTACCTGTTTTTCTTCGCAGAGCTGACGAATGAGCACCTGACCGCTGTCCACAAGAGCTTACAATCCGGGGGTCGACAGCAGCTGCAGCAGCGCCAGCAGCATCCTGTCTTTCCGACAAGACCTTGAAGCGAATCGGCGAAAGAAGCCCAGCTGTCAGCTGCGAACAGAGAGCCTTTCTGAGCAGCAGGGGTGCCGACCGTAGCGACTCTCAGCGCAAACGTTAGCACGACCACCACGTACGTTGCACAGCACAACCGTAGTCCGATCTTTGCAGGCGGATGACTAGTCCGCATAGTCATGCCGACAAGAGGGAGGGAGGGAGGCAACGGGAGAAGAGGTAGCCAGGTAGGTAGTAGGTAGGTAGATGATCGGTCGGTCGTACAGTAAGTAGTTCGCGGGCCGCGTGACTCAGTAGATCGCTACGAGCGCTTCGCGCCAGCGCCCAGCTGGACTTGTTGCGACGGAGACGCACCTCAGACGCAGGTCTCAGCGGTCGCCTTCGTCTGGCTGCCCGACGAAAGGAGACCATGCAAAGACGTGGGGATTGCGTTCAGCGCGACGTTGGACAGCGTCCGCACTGCCGACGTGGTCGTTGCACGACCGTCGCGTCCCGCGTGGCCAGACGTCGTCGGCCCCCGACGCCAAAGTACGAGCTGGTCACAGTGTGTACGTTCTTCTTTTCCACGGCCACCTACGGTCCTTACGTGGGACGGTGAAGTAGGTGGCAAATCATGCCAAGACGTTCCTCTGCAGTAGCAGCGCGGGCAGCACTAGCGGCTTCCGGCACTCAACTCGGAGGCGGCTCGTCTTCTATCATGCCGTCTCTGCGTTGGTGGGTGGAGACGGCGACGTTGTCTCTGCAAGCACTTCATTGCACGGACAACGAGGTGCGTTCTGGCCACGCGCCTTCACGTCCACGTGGTGGTCGTATTGTCTGATGGGGTCGATCGTCTGTGCTGCTCGGATAAGACCGCCGCGGTCGACGAGCCTGACGGATCGAGGAAGAGGGCGCTCGATGCGTGTTGGAGGCCGCCGCTGCTGTCCCTACGTCGAGAACAGGAACGACCATGGCGCTGTGCCTGATCGGAAGTAATCTTCAAGAATAGCGACACCTGCCAAAGTTCACAGCTTGAATCGCCGTGCATGACGCCACGAACGAAACGTGAGCGCAGAGCGGCTGCGTCTGATCGTGACCTCAAAAGACGGGGCACGAGGCAGTAATGAGGTAGGCCTCAACTCGTGTTGAGGCGCGAGAAGACACATACACAGCATGTGCAGAGGACTACCGCGTTGGATTTGACAGCCATGAGGCGTGGAGGCGAGAAGGCGGTCCGAAACTTTCCGCGCGGTGACTCGGTGCAATTGCCGGTCGGAAAAAGGTGTTGAAAGGTCCAGAGGAGAGCGGCGAGGGGGCGGAGCTTTCGGAATGTAGGACTCAACGGTCGGACCAGCTTTGACGTCTGTCTGTGTGTGTGCAGAGCTTATTGCACGATCGGATAACGCTTCCCATGTCGAAGCTAAGGTCCAGCCGGCAACACGAAAAAAAACAGCACGGGTCCGACCGACTAGCGCTACCACGTCCGTGCTCTCGTCGCGCATGAGGCTCGTCTCGGCCCGACGACAGTACAAAGCGCTCGACAGAGACGGACAGCGTTTTTGTTTTTGCCGGGCAGGCAGGGGCGGGCGGTAGCACCGAAACCGCGTGAGGCTTTTCTGTCAACTTGTCAGCGGCATGGGCACACGCCGTCTGTGGGCAGGCAGTATGCGTCTGCATACCACGTGGAGCAGAGAGGCCAGCCACGGTACGATCGCGGCCACGTGCGTCGACACTGCCCTTCTAACACCTGCGTCTGAGCCTTCTCGTTGCTTCGTCGAGAAGGCGCGCGAGCGGTCCGAGACAGTTACAGTACCACGGAGCATTCTGAGGCACCACCACTGCGGTGTGGGGTGACGTGCACACTTGCAGTGGTGCAAGTTACCAGGAAGTGCTCGTTGGTCAGGTTAGCTGCTGTCTTCCTCTGTACACGGCCACGCACAGAAACAGCCAAAAAGCGGTGAGACGTTGTTGTGCTGCAGAAGGAGCGTCCCTCAAAGCTAAAGAGATCGATCAGGACCTGCCATTACTTCGTGTAGACGGACGGCGTTGACAGGTGGGCCAGACGCGACGACATGTATGAGTTAGCGCGCTCGACCACAGTACCGCCACTTGCGTTTCTGGTCGCAGCGACTGTCCACGTCCGCTGGCAACTATTGCACCCTATGAAGACACGTCGATGGCGCATATCGACGGCTGCGTCTTCCTACTTCCAATCCTCGTGACTGGCGCCTTCCGATCGCACTCTCAAGGTCTCCGTCGCCATGATTCTGGTTGTTACTCACGCTTTGGTGGTCGCTCGTGGAACGTCAACTTTACCCGCGTTGGTCCCGGTACCTTCCTTGGCAGTCTCATCTTTATCGTATTGCATCCGTCTCGTCCGGCGTCCCTCGTCTGACGGAGTCGCCATCACGACGATCGCAAACATCGCTCATACTCACGTCTTGCAGGCCACGGAACGGCGTCACATACGCCGTTACATACACACAGAACGATGGGCTTTCGCATTGCAACGCTCGATCGTAGTGCATGACACAGCAAGAAGGAGCTACTGCATGTGCCTACAGGCTACGTCGTGGACTGCGAGAGACGGTATGCTCGATGCAACGCAATGGTAGTGAGTGAAAGACTGATCTTATGCAGAACGCTACCGAAGAATTGACAACACAGTGACAACGTGCCACGAGTTGTCATGCAACTAGTCGGGAAGGTTTGTTCATCGCAAACTTGTGCATTGATGGCGACTCGCGCGACGACGCCTTGTCTTGGAAACGATGACAGGTTCGCTGGTTACTGAGATATTGTCGGCACATTCCACACAGCATGCACCGATTTCGATCTATCGAAAGTTATCGGCGCACAGTCGATTCCCTCGTTCGACCACCGAATCCATTGACATGTTGCGGTCCTTGCCCTGTGACATACGGAGTGATGTGCTGCAACGTGGTAAGCAGCAAATGACCGCCGACCAGATACTTCGCCCTGGAGAAGGTAATGCAATCCAGGACGTGCGATATTCGCATTCTTTTCCCCATGTTCACACACTGTCTGTCTACGTGCAGGAAGAGTGCTCGCGTCCTCAAACTCGCTCACTTTGTTCTTCTTTGCTTTCTTGGCAGGTACGATAAGTCAATCAGCTTCTGTTGCGACGTTGCATCCATCCTCTTCAGCGCAGGGCATCACATCCTTTTGTCGGAGTGCCAGCGACATGTGTGCGCTAACGGGTGCTTGGTCTACCGTACCACGCGACGGGCGTATCATCACTCGGTTTCTGTACGTCCCACGGACCCAGCTGTTACTCTTACGCACACATGCCACCCGCATCAGAGAATCACGCACACTCGGAGGTGCTGCGCTTCGACAGCTTGTTCCCGACGAGAGGCCGTGTGCTCGGTTTTGGCGTTCCCGGCGGTACGACAGAGCTGTACGTATCAGACATGTTCGAAGACCTTGCTATGGTCTGAAGGGGATCCAAGCGGCAGTTGCGGCACCGTGACGGTTGATGCTTACGTAAGGCACCGGGCGGGATACTGTTACTGACAGTATGTACTGCGAGAACAATCGAAGGAAGGTACATTATCGGCAACTAGTTGGCAAAGAGTATTCATGTTGAGAATCTGTTTGAATCATGTCATACCAACAAGCAGGTGTAGTCTTCTCAACCTCGTTGATCCTTTGTATGTTGTGACTTTTTGTAAGGAGCTCCGTTGACCGCAGCGCCCCGCATATCCTGTCTTTCTCCCTTGGCCAGTTGATGAGTGTGACAAC